ATTGCGAGATCCTGCAAAAGTATTGCGGGATCTCACCAAACTATTGCGGGATCTCGCAAAAGTATTGCGAGATCCTGCAAAAGTATTGCGGGATCTCACCAAAGTGTTGCGGGATCTCACAAAAGTATTGCGAGATCTCGTAAAAGTTTATTTTTTGCGAGATCTCGCAAAAGTATTGTGGGATCTCACAAAAGTCTTGCGGAATCTTGCAAAAGTTTATTTTTTGCAAGATCTCGCCGAAGTATTGCGGGATCTCGCAAAACTATTGCGGGATCTCGCAAAAGTATTGCGAGATCCTGCAAAAGTATTGCGGGATCTCACCAAAGTGTTGCGGGATCTCACAAAAGTATTGCGAGATCTCGTAAAAGTTTATTTTTTGCGAGATCTCGCAATACTTTTGCGGGATCTCGCAAAAGTATTGCGAGATCCTGCAAAAGTATTGCGGGATCTCACCAAAGTGTTGCGGGATCTCACAAAAGTCTTGCGGAATCTCGCAAAAGTATTGCCAGATCTCGCAAAAGTTTATTTTTCCCCCTCCATGTCCCTTTAGGGGCTCCGTACATTTCTGTATAATTTTCAGTGTAATTTTAACGAACCTGTAACTTTCAGAAACCACCTGATGTATTGACGGGTAGAACCACCAGCTATAGATTCTAAACTACAGCATAAAAATGCCCCAAAAATTAAGGACAAATATTTGATTATTATTTAAAAATAAAGCAAAAAAAGAAAACAGGAGAGTTTTATGGTTTTCCCCTTTTGGGGCTCTGAGTTTTTGGTTCTCAGTTATCAGTTATTCTGTTTTGTTGATTTATTTGTTGGTTTATTTTCCATCTTATCTTAAAGCAGTTTTTGGTTGCTCTCTGTTGCCCCCTTGTGGCTGTTTAATTTCCCCTAGCTCCCTTCTGGTCGCTTCCATCCACACCTGCTCCCAATCTGCTAAATAGCCTGGTCTTTGTTCAGTCTCCCTTTTATACGCCTCAGGTTTAGTCAACGTTTGCTGGTTCCTTATTGATTGTTAGGTGCTTCCTCGTCCCTGGATCACCACATGAGTTTCCTTGATATTTGCTGGTTTTTAGTTTTCAGTATTTTTTGTGTTTTTGGATATTTGCCTCATTTTTTTTATCGTTAAACATACAAGAACTCATTTCTCACTCACTCATCTCTGCATTTGAGTCAGGCATCCCCAGAGTCGGTCCTCGAGGGCCACGGTCCTGCAGACTTTAGAGGTTTCTCTGCATTGAAAGCTGATTAATAGGCTTTTACTGAACTGCAATCATCAGAATCAGTTGTGCTAAAGGAGGGAAACCTGTAAATCCTGCAGGGCAGCGGCCCCTGAGGAACATTAGGCATCCCTGATTTGGGTCTTCCCCGTTGACAGAGTCTTGATTATCCTTGCACTTTCATTGTGTCTGATTATTCCTTACTGATCTTTTCACTTAACTGGACTCTATAGTTGAATACTTTTTGCACACATCACCTTGCTTTCTATTAAGAGACAAACTAAGTGATCCCTTTGAAACTTACACTTCCTCACATCAGGTTTTAACCTTTCCTCTCCTCCATGATCCAACCTGCAGAGAAAACAGAACCACCATAAAATCACTGCGTGGATGATGTCACCTATAAAGTTATGATTTTTTTTTTAGATGTTCTACAGTAGATTGTTCAGTTTTAAAGGATATAATACCTGATATATCTAAATCAGACTTTATATTATGTTCCACTGTCTACAAACCTGTGTTAAAAAGCCTTAATTTGCACCAAAAAAGAAAGTAAAAAGAGTCTCTTTGTACCTGAGAGTGGTCAGTTTCCAGGGGGACAGCTTCTGATCAGAGGACAGCATCTGCTTCCCCAAAAGTCCTGGATGGTTGTAGCTCAGGTCCAGTTCTCTCAGATGAGACGGGTTGGAGCTCAAGGCTGAGGCCAGATAACTGCAACCTTTCCCTGTAACCAGGCAGCCTGACAACCTGGAGTTAAACCAAAACCACAGGTTAGTGACTTACTGACTATGAAGCAACCAAAACAGAACTGGTCCTGATGGGTTTAACCAGACCTGAGAGTTTCCAGCTTGCAGTGAAGACTCCCCAGGCCAGAGGACAGCTGCTGCACTCCTGGATCTCTCAGATTGTTGTTACTCAGGTCCAGCTCTCTTAGCTTGGAGGACTGGGAGCTGAGCACCGCTGATAGATATTTACAGCAGCTTTCTGACAGCTGGCATCCACAAAGTCTAGAATATCAAAGCATTAAATAAACAACAAATCCTAGGACAGCCTAACTTGGATCAAGATAAAAAAAATTAAGTTGGGAAATCTTAGAAGATCAGGATGGTCTCACGAGGCTAGTGATGCTCATCAACCATTGACTTTTCAGTGTAAATAGCTCCCATCACTGCCCCTTCTGCTTTAGGTGTGAACTTAGCGTTATGTTGTTGTAAGCTCGTGTCACCAGCACTCGCTCTCGGCTTTTTTGGTTCTCAGTCTTGGAAACGGACAGCATTCGCGTTCATGTGTTTTGAAGGCGTGGTTTCGAGGGGTGGTGTGAAGGGAGAGGCACGGTTGTGTATTTTCAAAATTACAGCAAGCAACCGTTTTTCCAAGATCTCCTTCAGCACCTTTAACTCAATGCTGGGTCAACTGAACAGACGGTAAACAGCTGATCTTTTCATTGCATACTTTTTCTCTTCTAAAATGCACTATTTTGCACCAACAAATCAATAGATTTGGTTAAGTTGTTCTCTTCCATGGTTGCAGCAAGATAAAGCTGAGCATGGAGAAAGTTGATTAGTCTGCAGTCCTAATCTAAACCTTAAGAATGAGCTATAGTACAACAATGAGCCCAACAGTTTCCGTTTAAGGTGGAAAAACTCTCAGTAAAAAAATAGAAACCAACCCAATTGTCTCCATGTGGCAGTGTTCATTTTCCAGTCCAACAGAGAGCAGCTTCACTCCTGAATCTCCCAGGTTGTTGTTGCTCATGTCCAGAGAGCGAAGGCAGCAGGAAGGAGAACTGAGAACCGAGACCAGAGCTTCACAGCTTTGCTCTGAGAGGTTACATCCAGCCAAACTGAAAAGCATCATTTTGAGATCTGAATTATTTTCAAACTACACAAAAACCTAACAAGTAGACAAAGACAAATTCACATCCATCCAGTCGCATTCACACAATCTCACCCTTACACCCATATGGACCAGAGCGTGTGGGCGGAGCAGAGGGCCACGCAACTCCCGCTCCCCGCTCAGGAGGATATTCACCCTCACTCCAATTTTAAGAAGGTATTTTCTGACCTTTAATCTGTTGTAGCTTAAAGTCGTAGGAAAGTCATATTTAAATGTCAAATCATTCTAGCTTAAACATGTATATAAATGTAATATACCCAACGGTTGAAATCAGAATCCTTTCCTTTCCCATTGAGTT